GCATTATCTATTATTTTTCAGTATATTACAGTTCAGAAGTGTGAGGTCAGCAAAAAATCGAAAGAAAACAATGCTTTGATTTAGCAAGAGTGCATTTTTAACAGTACAGAGACAGAAAAGAAAATGCATACATTTTTTAGAAAAAAAAATATATATATGTAGGCATGAAAGCATGATGTTTTATTTTAATAAATGCAATGGGGAGATTAAAAAAAATTAATTTAAACATTATATTAATTATATTAAATCAGATCAGCTAGAGTAGCACAAATGGCACTGAGTTTATAGCTTATTCATGGTGAACTCTTCATTCCCCCCAGTGTTATTGTTACATTTTCATATGAAATAAATCACAACTCACAGTGACAAATTATTTACCAGGTAGAATAATGCTGTGGTTAAATAAAGTGATTTATTGAAATGAATTATTTTAAAGGCGTTGTCTAAATGTGAGCTGTGTATCATTTCCAGGTGCCGCCATTGAATTTCTCTTGTTTCAGTTAATATTGTTTGGCTGTTAACGTTTCTAATCGGCAAATGTAGCAGCAGTTCTTTTTGCTGGGGTTTGGTAACTGACCGCATGATATTAATGAGAGTCTTGTCTTTTCTCACGAGGGTTCGCTGTGGCCACTAGAGGCTCAGTTTATCTAGGCCGAGAGAGAACATGATGACCCTTACTGTACCAATTAGTTACAGCAGATAATGTGAATTCTGCCAAAGTTAACACCGAACATACCAGTCTGTTTTCTGATTTATTGTTGGTAAAGCCAAACACATTTACAAACATGTTATAATTGAACAGTGTGAGGTCAGCAAAAAATTTAAAGAAAATAATACTTTTATTAAGGAAGAGTGCATTTTTAACAGTACAGAGGCAGAAAAGAAAATGCATAATTTTTTAGAAAAAAAAAATATGTAGGCATGAAAGCATGATGTTTTATTTTAATAAATGCAACAGGGAGATACATTTTTTTTTATTTAAACATATTAATTATATTAAATCAGATCAGCTTCATGGTGAACTCTTCATTCCCCCCAGTGTTATTGTTACATTTTCATATGAAATAAATCACAACTCACAGTGACAAATTATTTACCAGGTAGAATAATGCTGTAGTTAAATAAAGTGATTTATTGAAATGAATTATTTTAAAGGCGTTGTCTAAATGTGAGCTGTGTATCATTCTCTTGTTTCAGTTAATATTGATGGGCTGTTAACGTTTCTAATCGGCAAATGTAGCAGCAGTTCTTTTTGCTGGGGTTTGGTAACTGACCGCATCATATTAATGAGAGTCTTGTCTTTTCTCACGAGGGTTCGCTGTGGCCACTAGAGGCTCAGTGTATCTAGGCCGAGAGAGAACATGATGACCCTTACTGTACCAATTAGTTACAGCATATAATGTGAATTCTGCCAAAGTTAACACCGAACATACCAGTCTGTTTTCTGATTTATTGTTGGTAAAGCCAAACACATTTACAAACATGTTATAATTGAACAGACAAAGCCTTAGATTCGCTGCATTAGATTCAGCGTCTGCTAAATGAGCGCACCATTCATCTGCCTAATGGCTCAATCTTCAATGAAGTCGTGCTGCGGCCCAGAAACCAAACCCCTGTAAACATGTTTGTGCGCTGAATGGAAAGTGGGTTGGCCGCACAATAGCTGACCAATACACCGCCTACATTGTGCATGGCATCATAGCGTATTAGCTTAGCAAACTCTATTTGTTTGGATGGTTGCCGTTTCTGTTTATACAGGTTTGATTGAAAAATGCTTTGTAATGGATGCAGTGAATATGTTGATGCCGCATGCATTCCAGCATATACAGTAGGTATCATGATCTTCTGAAATAGATTTTTTTTTTCTAGAATCATAAGGTTTTGCATTTTGAACTTCATTTTTAAAGTCCACCTTCCCAAATTCTGCAGAAATGATTGCTTTTTACAGTGCTTTTTTATATGAAGTAACTCATCATCCAGCTGTTTGTAAGTGTTATATTGCACCCGTGCTTGTGCTGGGACTGGTCATGTGTGCACACTGCTTCCTCTCTGAATCGCTCACGCAGGAACTTATCAAATTCTAGTGAATTATTAACCTCAGGACAGCTAGGAAGGTTTGAAAATCACTTCGGATATGTCAGAAACCAGCTATGGCAGGTAAGTCTTCTCTAAATTATTGTTTTAACTGGTTACAAAAAAAAAAAATAGAATGGCAAAAAAAGGCATTAGTGCAGTCCAAGACCACGAAGGTAGACATGATTACAGGTGATGTTGAGTGTGCTGTGATAGGTTATTTGATCATCCACAGAACAGCATCTACACAGCTTGAGCTAGTGTACGTTTACAATTAGAACGAACAGTTCCGTTATTGCATATGTTAATTATATAATAAAAGGTAGATAATAAAGCTGGAATGAAGGTTTTGGGCTAATTATTCAATATTCTTACAGGAAATGCCAATGGAAGAACCGATGCGGTCCAAAGCAGGTAAGAAACATCAGCTCGAGCATTTTAGAAAAATCATTTGTATTGATTTCATGTGACCTAAGAGAACTTAAAGGAAAAAGAAAGTTATTACACCATATTAGCTATAAATAGTGTTCAAATTTAATTAAATTTAATTGTATAAATGTAAGCATTTTTTTAAAGTATATAAATGTGTGTGTGTGTGTTTGTGTGTGTGTGTGTGTGTGTGTTTAGTCTCATGACATATATTCCCAAACTGTTAAAATACTTTGATTCTCCTATATTAGCTCAGTCTGTCTTAGTTTAATTTCATATGGAGAGGTAAACAGAAATGGCTCTTGACTAACGTGATCAGTGTTGGGGAAAGTTACTTTTAAAAGTAATGCATTACAATATTGCGTTACTCCATAAAAAAAGTAACTAATTACGTTACTTAGTTACTTTTTATGGAAAGTAATGCATTACGTTACTTTTGTGTTACTTTTTAAATCTGGACAGGGCTTGCTTGTTTGTTTTTAAAATAAAAAAGTAATATTTTGGCAAATATAAAAGCCTTTTCACACCAAAAGTGAAATGAATAAGCCTCAGGCTAAAGGGAAAGTAAATTTACGTCCGTACAGTAGAATGCAGAAGAAGAAATTTCAACACACTTCAGCAATAAAAAAAAGACACACAAATGTTTGTCTAGAGTAATTT